TTTCTCATATATATATATACATATATATATATATATATATATATATATATATATTACAGTAAGCAGTTTGTGAGTGGCGTATAAAATCACCCTGGAAGCATACGACAGGTTTCATGATTCTTGTTGCTTGTCAGGCACGCGCATCCTGTGATCTTTTGCCAGTTCATTCATATTATTGTACCAAGGACGTGTGTTTTCGACAAACATATTGCAGCGCCGGTTACAGTTGTTGGTCAAGTCATTTACATACAACTTACTGTAAAATAACCTACAAGGAAGCTGAAGTCATTTTTGTTGCAAATAGTGGAATCTAATCCACGTGCAGAACATCAAGCCAGAGTATTGATATACAAATGGACTGGTTCCGAAAGGGATGTCGAAACAAATAAAGCCGGCGTTGTAGATGAGATATTTCTGCCAAATATGTTTTCCGGTGCTAGGGTGAGCAAAATCAGTTGGTATCACTGATAGAAACAACACAACTTTTGCGTGCTCGACTGTCGCTGATAGTCTAAGTGAGCCAAGGGTAAGGAGAAAAAGGAAACAGATAGGCTTAGCACATTTCCCGATCAGATAACATTGACAGTCGCATGCTTGTTAACACCCATTAAGAGGAATAGACTACAGGAGTGTGGAAAACATGAGTAAACGCAACCGTAGTCGGTTAAAAACAGCAAAAGCTTACTTGACTGAGACGCTGCCCCAGATTTTCATCCGAAAGAATTAGGGGCTTAGGAGGATAGCCATAAAATAAGGCGATTTCAGAACGATTGATTTTGACCGCCGAACTGACAGATGATAACAGATCGTTAACAGTTGATTCACTAGTCAAGTTGTCCAAGATACACTGACCAGTATGAAATTTGCATTTCAATAAGAGTGGCCGAGTTGCACCGCTCATTTCTGACGTGTCTCGGCTGAAATGTTGACGAAATACAACATGAATCCATCACGATTCATCACACTTATCAAACAAAGTACACACGCGGTAGAGAACACTCAGTGGTTATAAAAACGGTTTATTAGAACTTTTGTATAAATCTGCTAGAACCTCTGCTCCAAATGACGTGCAATTAGATCAATGACGTCTGTTTTTAAAAATGCATTCAACATCGTCTTGTCGTCGAGCGCCAGTCCGCAGTTGGACTTGTGCTCTTTAAAAACCGTAGTAGAGGTATCAAAGCAGTCATCAAATTTGCACTTAGGGACTGGGTGCCACAGTTCATTTAGGAGTCTCGGTTTCTTTTGAACTGGACGGGATTCCGTCTCTGATGTGGTCGTCGTCAGTAGATTACCGATATGTTCATTCAACAAATTGTACCAATTGCCGGAATCGTATAGTTCTCTTTCCTCTGTATGCAGAACTTCATTCGCATTTAGATTTCCGTTAGATATCAGAGAGCAGGCCAAAAGCTGCGTAAGCGCTTCACGTAATCGGAACTTATTGTCTAGCTCGGGTTCATCTAACCACAAGTTTACTGCACAGGTCACCGGCGATTGTTCAGTTGATTGCACAAAATGCCACCATCCACGTGGAACAAAGAGGACATCTCCCGGATTCAGCAAAACGCTATGAGGTGAGGTATTACGAACGAGAGGGTATTTTGACAGATCCGGTTTGGGGAAATTAATCTCACTAAACACCGTAGATTCCTCCAAAGGTACACGGGTCGCATACAAGTTAGGTCCGTCTGAACTAGGAAAAAGAGTCCATTTCTTTTGGCCTAGGATTTGCACAACTAGATTTACTCCGTAGGTATCATAGTGACATATTGAATAGGCACCGGAAGATCCCAACCAGAAGGTAGGTATCAGAGACGAACTAGGGAGATCAAACGTTTGATGCCAATCAAGCTCATTTCTCAGACCATCCAAATTGGATCCCGGTATCATATGAAGGTAGTCAGCATATGCCCACCAAGATTTGATAGGATATAAACTCAGTGGATTGTTGGAATCAACAATACCAGCCGTCCAATCACGAAACTGACGGACAGATGCGAATACACTAGGACAAGTTGTCTCCCATTGCACCACGTCACAATTCTTCTTACCAAGTCGAAATCTTAGGGGACACTCAAGTTGCGAATCCAGGTAATCCAAATTCCATTGCTTGCATGCTGGCCAAGAGGAACATAATCCTTCAGCAAAGAGAGGTTTTTCGGAGTTCGGGACCTTACCCTCCGTTTTTGTATGGACAGCCTTTGAAAAAGCAATAGAAAGAAAGTTAAGAACGATCGGGAAGGACGTGATTAAAACGAAGTGTGAAACACTGGGTACCCTTTATCCATGCAACCAATACGGAATCATCACTGTCATCATCAACAACATCGTACAGCAAAATACAAGGAAGTGAACTTCGCTGATCGTTGCCAAGGTCTTAATGTAAACAAAGGTAAGAAAGTACATGATGGATAAGGTTTGCGTCTAACTGGAGAGAAGACAGAACGCGAACCTTTATTCTCAACACACAGAGTAAACAGATCAACTGTGTATGACTACTATTTCAAGCATTCTGGACCGACAAGAAGTGACAGCAAGATAAACACTACTGTCGGTTAGTTTCCATATATTTCACTGCCTCAAAACGACCGGTTACAGAGTCTTTTGGACCCTAACATGAAGGACGAGAGACACTTGCTTTATCTAATCGCTCTGCTTTTCTTCAGTTCTCGTTTCCACGTCATCTGTTGACCTCCACGTAGTTTCTTCCAACCTGCAACTACCACTGCTAATAAGGTGTGGTGCGGTAGACCACAGCTGGGCATGCGCAATACGTGTCCCGACTAGCGAAGCCCATTGATTTGAATTCTATGTGATAACGAATTTTCCACCGAATTATAACCAAATCTGAGATGACGTAGGTAAGAGTTACGTGCACCCTCGTTCTATTCAACCCCCCGCCAAACTACATAAACACTGAAGGCCGGAGACTTCTAGACGATGAATATCCCCAATGCACCAATTAAGGGTCTTGCAACCGTAAAGCAGAACTTGGCACATCGGCGCGGCATACGCGACCTTTCAGTTTCAAGGAAACATCATATCGACACCAACGGTGTTTCCGTCCTGCGTACGCAGCTCATGCTTTGGAAATGCGAGCGGTTACTACCCTAACTACGCCACAGCCATTTGTCACGTAACTACCGAAGGGGGAGAAACATTAGGTTCCCATACTTCTGCGGCATTTCTTTGTGAAGCACACAGATTAGAGCTTCGTGGTCAACTGAGTCGAAGGCTTCGTTTAGGTCAAGGAACACGACAACCGTTGATCGACGGTGCGTGTGGCGTTGTTCGAAAACTTGACGCAGGGTGAAGGTTTGGTCGATACAACCGCGACCTATTCAGAATCCTGCTTGCTGTTCGCGAATGTTGATCTCACCCTTAAGACTATCACGTGATTTGGTATCCGAATCTCGCGGTGTTGCTGGTGTTGGGATTGATCTAATTGCTAAGGCTGAGCGCTCGCTTCTTGATTGGATTCCGGTCAGTAGCCGACTATGCGCTGTACGTCTCGACGGCTCTACACGGGCCAACAGCAACAGAACAAAGTTTATTCGTCGTATCGGCGTATGCACCGACCGATTGCAGTGCGCCTAAAATGAAGGATGAATTCTACAAGGATATCTCCCAAATGCTCCAAAGTGCTCGATCAACGGACATTGTCGTAGTCGCTGGAGACTTCAATGCTCAGGTGGGATCCCTAGACGAATCAGAAAGGCTTCTTGGCGGACCGTATGCAATCCCAGCAAACCAGACGGACAATGGAGATCGCCTAGTGAAACTCTGTGCGGATCACGGATTGTTTCTGTCGAACACGAGCTTCTCGCACAAGAAACGACACCGTCTTGCATGGAAACAAACAATCTCTTCACTGCGATGGACCCAGATCGACCACATCGCCATCAGTTACCGCTGGAGAGGGTCGATTCAAGACAGCCGTTCTTACTGGTCCACACCTGTGGATACGGACCACGCTTTGCTACGAGCCAAATTCTCCTTAAGCCTGGCAAACAACCGCACGAAAGCCAACGACAACAGATACACACGATACAACGTCAGCAATTGCTGCAAATCGGCCTCCGAATCGGAACTCTCCGACCGTCTATCAGATCAATCACCGGCCGAAGAACTCGATAAACACTGGAAGCAAATAAAAACAACGTCGGACCCTCCCGCAAGCACAAAACACAATCGATGGATATCGTCGACCTCGGCTGCTCTGCTGGCTGCCCGCAGAACCCTCTCTCCGGATGTCACATATGGCACACCGCGCAAATCCTTCAAACGCCAGCTCATCAAGAGTCTGAGGAATGACTGCGAGAAGTGGTGAATAGGAAATTGAAGATAGATTGAGTAGGCTACAGCCATTGGTAAAAGTCGCAATCTTTTCCGTCTAATTAGGAATACGAGCCCTAGGAAAATAGGCCTAAGTGAGGTAAATAGGGAATCCAATGGCACACTGATTCACGATCAGCAACGCCTTCTTGACCGTCGGGCTGAAAAGTTCAAGACTCAGTTTAACTGGTCCCCATTGACATCTGAACTATCACTGTCCACTTCGACCAAGCAAATACTCCCAGTTGATGCCAGTCCTCCATCTGAAATAGAGGTTTCCCGGGGAATGAGTCATCTAAAAAGGCATAAAGCCTGCTGCCCAGACGGGTTCTCCCCATCCATTTTTAAAGATGGAGGTTCAGCATTGATTTCGGAGTTAACGAAACTCCTATGCTCAGTGTGGGAGAGGGAACAAGTTCCAGCTGAATGGTGTGAATCGGTAATCATACCCATTTACAAGAAAGGTGACAGATCCTCTTGTGAAAACCACAGAGGAATTAGTTTAATCAACATTGCTTCTAAACTTCTCGCTTGTATCATACTCCGTCGATTGTCTGCCGCACGTGAAGAATGCACGCGTGAGAACCAGGCTGGTTTTAGACCTGATCGAGGTTGTATCGACCACATCTTCACTCTTCGCCAAACTCTGAAGCACCGACAATCTTCTCGTAGACCCACCATCTCTATCTTCCTGGATCTGAAAGAGGCTTTCGACTCAGTCGACCGATCTAAACTCTGGCGCTAAATTTCTCTGAAACTTGTGCCCCAGAAGTTTATTTCAATATTGCGATGCCTGTATACTCACAGCGGAAGCCGAGTCCGAGCTTACGGCACGTCTTCACCCGAGTTCACCACGGAAGGTGGTGTTCGACTGGGTTGCCCTCTCTGTCCGTTTTCCATTCAACTTCGTCATCTATTTAATTACTGAGACAACCCTATCCTGGTGCGAGGATAGTGGCATTGATTTGTTCCCAGATGGCAGACTGGTCTGAAGTAGGCAGACGACACTGTGATTCTAAAAGAAGATCCAAGTAAATTGCAAGCTTTTCTGGATAGCTTGAGTGCCAGTGTAACTATGTTCGGCATGCGTTTTGCACCTCCAAAGTGTAAAATGTTATTTCAAGAACGGGTTGATCCAACACCCAGCCTTACTCTAACTGGGGAAGTAATAGAGCAGTTGGGTAAGTTTTGTTATTTGGGCAGCTATATCTCACACGATGGGCCCATCACGGATGAAGTGTCAGCTCGCATACGAAGGCTCGGTATGCATTTACCAACTTGAGACATCTGTGGCGCCGTAGCAACAACCGGCTATCTGTTAAGGGTCAAGTGTATGTTGCGGCAGTTTGGTCAGTTCTGCTATACGGTGCAGAAACTTGGCCATTAGGACAACAGGACAAAGACAGACTGTCGGTGTTCGGACACCGCTGTCTACGCAGCATTGCACGAATTCGATGAGACAGTCGGACGAGCAATGCTGAGGTTAGGCGCAGAGTTTTACGTAAATGCGGTCGCCCACTGGAGCAAGTGGACAACCTCCATAGATTACGTTGGTTGGGGCAT